TGTAGGGTTCGATTTTATGTTCACAGATCGAGAAGAAGTGAGCAACAAGAGTCTTGGATTTTCAAACAGCTTTATTCCCACTGCCTAAGTTCCCTCTCATCTACCCACCACCTGCCCTATTTATACCTCGCTCTATTTTCATGTCTAATTGCAATATAACCTTATAATATTACTTTGAGATTTTATCTTTCTAGTCTAAGCGCGCGACATCCAAGTATAGGGGGCGTGGGACATGCTAAGGGGCGAGTCTAGGCGCGCGACCTTGGGAAAATGAACAGTTTCTCCTAAAACTTATACAAATGAAACATTGATAACTTTCCCTGCTGCACCTTTTTAAAAACATTCCTTTGCTAATCATTTCAATAAATCTAAATATTTTCCCTTTAAATATTTATACAATAATCTTTCAAATATATCATCATCAGAAATAACACAAGCCATACAAACAAACTGGCAGCTCACCTGTAAACTTGACCAAGTAACATGCTCATTATGCCTCTAACAATGCAAAGACCCAATTGGGATCTGGCCTAGTCCAATTATTAACTGGACTAGACTGGGATCTGGCCTGTGACATATATTTTCTGTATCTGGGGTTTTATGCATCAAGACAATCAAATTTCGAAATTGTGACTTATAAATTAATCATAGAAGAAAAAGGGACGTTTTTGAAAAATTTATTGTCATGTCCGGTAGACATATTGTTCAAGATATACACTACAAAAGGAGGGTCTAAAACACAAATAATAATTACGGAAGACGTATGAAATTGTATTTTCTTTCAAGTGCTGTCATCAACTTTTACCAACTGGGCACGTGGGCATTCATTTTTTGTATAAATTTGACAGTGATGATGTTTGGTGTGTTGCATGTGTAGTCGAGTTATTGTGCTTTGACATATATACACATGCATACACAGAGAGATGGAGAGGGAGGTTGTTACACTTCTACTATCTGGCTTGAAACCTTAGGCCGCATTCAGAACAGCGGACTTACTAGTCTGCGGGTCAAATATGGCGACCCACTAAAAAGCTTGCTGTGTAATCCGCTAATAGACACTGAATAGATTCCCCGTGGGGAAGTATTCAAGTGGACCGGCCATATTTGACCCTCGGACTATTTAGTTCACTGTTCTGAATGCAGCCTTACAGTTCATTCAACCCTAGTCCTCTCTTAGTCGTGCTAAGTGGAACAGATGAAAATTTATATCCACTGAGCTACCGTATAAGGCACGCAATTTGATCTTTACGCATAGATCTGTAGATGAAAGAGACCGGAACTCGGTCGAATGGCTGGCGTTGAGTCCGGTGAAGAAAGCGGATATAATTTAATTAGAAAAATTATAACCAAATCCGTGGCTTAGATGAGGTGTGGCAACCATTTTGAGCAACAATGAATACATGTTTTAGCTGTAAAAATGAATCTTTGAATTAATAAGAAATCCAATTTACAATATGAAAGGTTTTATCTAAACACATTTTATATGATATGTTTTATTCTATAACATTGCTTCTTACCGCAAAAAGTTCCTCGACATACAATCTTCAAATGATTCGTTTATAATTGGATCTTTTATGTATATTTGGTGTATCTTCAGTTTTATGCACCAAGTCAATCCAAATTCCGAAATTGTGATTTAAAAAAATTATTACTGGAGAAAAGGGGACGTTTTTTAAACTTTATTTCCATTCCCGATGGACATATTGTTCAAGATGTGGCTACACTACGACAGAGTGGTCTTAAAATACTCCACACACTTGATACTCCAATATCAAGTAATAATTAAGTAAGACGAATGAAACTGTAACTTTCCTGCAAGTAGTGTCATCAACTCAGATCAACTGGGCCCGTAGACATTTCTTCTTGTGTATAACATTGGCGGCAATGATGTGTTGTGTGCTGCTAGTGAAGTCGAGTTTTTGCGCTTTGACATATTCACATGATCACAATAAGAGAGAGAAAGAGGGAGATTGTTGCACTTTTACTTACAGGCTAACTTAAAAGTTCACGGCGCCCTTTAGTCCTCTCTAAGTCGTGTTTAGTGGAACAGATGAAGATTTATGTCCACTGAACTACAAGGCACGCAATCTGATCCTTACGCATAGACCTGTAGATGAAAGAGACGGAACTCGGTCGAAAGGAAGACGAGTCCAGTGAAGAGGATATAATTGAATTAGAACAATTAGTTATGATTTAATCACTATGGACGTTAAATATCAAAGGATAATCGAAAGTTAATGCTTGTCATTTCCTTTAAGGATGGCGCTATGGTGGTTATACTTTATATTTGTTGCTGAGTTTGACAGGTTATTGGAAAAACTTCACTCCCAAGGGTGTATTTTTGATTAAAACGCGTTGAGAGGCACTGGATTCAGTTATTACTTAGACATCAGAATTACCTCAAGTTTTACGAACTTTGATATAATGGCACATTCTCTCTGTAACTTATCCAAGGGGGACTTCAACACTGCAGGCTTCAACACGACCTGGATGTAAGATGTTACTTCTTCCTTTTTATGTGACCTATACTTTTTTGAAGATAAAAATATAAATTTATCATCATTTTACTTTACATTTAGACAACACTTAAGGAACTTCTTTCCATCATTTCATGTCTTTTTAAGCGATTTTAATCGACCAGTTTTACCACAGACAGTATCATTTGCTGTCGTCAATCAAAAGAAAGTGCAATGTAAGCATCGATTACAATTCTGAAACATGATGATTTGATTTTTATATTTTTTACCTGAGACTTAAGGAAGCAGCAACACTGGTACTGGCTTCATTTCGAGAGTCCAATTGAAGCATGCTACCCTTGTCCATCACCATAGTCAATTTTGTTTGCCTACAGATAGCCAGATACCCACAGTCGTTAAATCTTAACCTTTTCTATCAGTTATTTACTTTGAATCATCCGCACGTGGACTGCTTTGGTATATAAGAACTGAACTTTATGACTTTCTCCTTATTCCCGGTGATATGTTGTAAAATGATGAAAAAGCCAAGTTTCTCATTTTCCAAATGGAAGTGTAGTTTATTGAAGTCCTATAGATTTTTGCAGAAGATGATTCGCCTACTGCGGTTGCTGGGAGACCTAGGGGGCGTCTAGTCGTAAGTCTGTGCGTGTTTTGTTGTGGCAACTCGCCCCCTTTAAATTTCCAAAAGACACGTCAAACACTCTAAGCATCCTTTGGTCCAAAATTGCCTTAAAAGCCATCAGAATCATGAAAGGCTCATCTTAGATATTTTCTCTTTGTATAACCAACCGCTTATTACCTCAAATATCCATCTTATAATAAGCACTACACTTATTTCTCATTTTTACTGTATATTTTCCATGCAACCAGTTTCAGTCAAGTACATCCTATATCAGTAGCAGATTAGTTAAATAACAATTACTTAAACTTAATAATAATAATTATAATAAATAAATAAATAAATAAACACATAAATCATATCAATAAAATAACATTTTCGTCCTTCTAAGGTTATGTTCTCAACAACTACATAAATAAAATTAAATAGCGGTGGATCACCGAATATTATACTGTATATGTATGTAACATTATACAATGTAGCTCCAACAGGCCTTGTGTGCATTTATTATTCTAGCCCAATCCAGGCCTTATCTTAATCATCTCCCCGTGCGGCCATCTAACCGCAACCATAGTTCATAAATTGTTTAATACAGTTGATTTTTAATATTTGAAATATTCATGCATGTGTTGTTTCTTTTGACACTACAAAAAACGTCAGTTAACACCACTCCCTTGCATGTTGCTAAATTGATAACATCTGTGTGTGTAAGAAACATTTCAAATTCGTGTCGACGCACTAGAAAATACTAAGGTGAGATGTTTTCGAACACCCAAGATTGGCTTTTGTTTTGTGTGGTATATAAAAAACCTAGCATGCCAACCGACTACGTTTTCAGTTCCAAGGAGGTTGCAAAGCAGTTACTTGGTGGTCCTAGTCACTGCCGCATTCACCGGGGAACTGACACCTTATCAATTTTTATTTGCTCAGATTAAAGGCATTCCGTGTTCTTTAGATCTTTATATAGCTTGAATGTTTTTCTTGGAAATTTGAGCAATTCACCCTTTATCAGATCTGTATATCCCATCCAAAACCATTGAGAAAGTTGCAATCTATAAACCCCTGCTCTGGTTTTCAATTTCTCAATTTTTTTACCGTCACGAATGAAATTCACCGGTCTCTGCCTCCATAAGAGTGACTTAAATGTTTTAACCTTAGGACCCCCTGCCTCCCAGAAAAAGAGGTGAATAGAAGTAATTCTGTAAACGGTTTTTTGTCTTACTTTAGTGATTAAAGGTAAAAGTGTTTAAGGATACTGTCACCCTTCGCTCATTGCGTGACCTAAAGCACACAGTATAAATTAGACGAACAAACCAGGAGCGACGTGATTATAGGAGATAAAATCACAACGTTGTGCAATATGGTAGTAGACCACTAATATCATTGAAGAAAAAAAACTGTTTTAGACCGGTATGGGTCAAATCCTATGTCACCATAGCGCAAGGTTCAGGATGTGTGGATCATGTTGCATACAAATCTGAAGATATCAGAAATGTTATGGGAAATGGGAAGTGTAAATATGGTCTGTTTATGTAGCAAAAAAAGCCAGTTTTGAGGATTGTTTAATTCAGATTTACATGTATCACCTAACCGCGGCACTGTTAAACTACCACTTCCAAATAAGTGTAAGCAAAAATGCCTGTTTCATGTAAGAATTTGTAAAATTACTTACTACTCAATAAAACACTTCTTTGTAGCAGAAATCAATATCTATATTTGACTTGGTTTTACTGCCACAGAGAAAAAAAGCTTTTAGAATCGTTCTCCTACTTGCATATGTCACCACAAATTGATCCCACAACCACCTGCTACGAGGCAATGTCTGAGTTGAGGCAGTCCCTATAGTTCTTACCGCCTGACGTGTTTTATTTCTTTTTTACCGATCATGAGTTTTTGCTTTTCAGATACATAGCAATAATCCATCCTCTGAGACCTCGTCTGTCCAAAAAGATAGTCCTTGGAGTTATATGTGGAATCTGGACGCTCTCCTCAATGGTCGGCATTCCTGCCATCCTGGTTGGCGGGGTGGCACGTGTGACGGACGCTTTGATGCCTGATGGGTCTGCATGGTACCAGTGTCAGATGAACTGGGCACCAGAGAAAGACTTATCGTAAGAACCGATTCAATTTATTTTGATGGGTTAGAACGACATCAGTCACGATAACTAAATTAAGTAATGACATGTGTCTTCCAACTGTTCTCTTTCCGCAGGGCAAATTCTCATGTGACTCAAGTCACGCAAAGGGTGTTCAAATTCCCACATTTGGGTTTAAATGAGAAAAATTCAGCATGATTCAGATATGACTCGAAGCTACTATTTCGAATAGCAATCGTGCAAAGTTTAGGATTGCTCCTTTTCTGTAATAATTATTTGGTTAATAAACAAATATACAAACTTAGGCAGGTTAGAATACATGAAGGTTAATGTTAGCTAGCCAGCCGAGAACAAAGAAACGGCGCAACTTGGACATTTTAAGAGAAATCAACAAAAATGCGGTAAGTTGTTTCAGCTGTGTTTTATAAAGCCGTTTTTTTACTACAGGCTGTTTATATCGTATCTGTGTTCCAGAACTGGCAATGTACATCTTCCAATAGTTTCGATTTTAGTGAAAAGAGAAGATGTTGACATGGTTTATTCATTTGGATCTCCCAAAACATGTCTACCCATGTATTCAGCATTTCAACTCAGTCCTGCTCTTAACTCGGCCCATGTCTGCGTAACATTTGTTAAACTAGTTATAAATGCAAACGTTTCCGATGCAAACGTTTCCGTCTCTATAATGAGCAAATTTAATATTCAAAATGAAGTTCGGTTTGATTAAGTAGCCCATGTTTTGTATTTACATATGTATTTTGCTTTATTCTTCGTCATTTTATGTATTCCATGACAGGAGGGAGGAGGCAGGTATTATTCATTTCAGGTGCAATTATCCAGGCCATGAAATGGGCTTCTTTTTCTGTTTCAGGTATAACATATTCTTGACATCATTTGAGTATTTCATCCCCTTAATGGTTTTACTGGTGACATACATGAGAATCAGTGCGAGGCTGTGGTCCGGAGAACGCATTGGGGAGAACACGCCCACATTACAAGATGCCATTCAGGCCAAGAGACGGGTAAGATTGTCTGGAATAGCGGCGTCCACTAAATAGCGATGGCAAGAAATGTGGAAAACAGAAAGACCGAAAGATTTTTACAATAAAAATAATCGGAATTTTCTAAAAATAATAATTGCTTAGCAATTAATTCCACCCTACAATATTGGTTTAAAAGGTTGCCACACCCTAAAATAGCTTTTCTAATCAATCAAATGGTTTCGTTTTGAATAGGGGAATATTTTGCCTACTCCCTAACCATTAGGATTCACTGACCAATCCACACTACCTGGGTCAAAGGTGAATATACATCAATGGGCGATGGTTCCAAAGTGTAAGGGTAGGCCTATGCAGTGCTGTTTGTTCCTTTGTTTGGCTGTTACAAGGTGTTCCGCAATATCGAACAGAAATTTGGAGTAGCTAAAACCACACCTTTACCCAGTCGAATACTTGACTAGGCCAGGTCCTACCGGTTTAGATTTCAGGAACCAGTTGGTAACGTTCCAATATGCAGGGTTCAGTTATGGAGACATTTGCATAATGATTTTTGTATCCTGAAAAACTGTGATAAGAATTCTACAGAAGAGAACTGCCACCGGCAATGTAGCCCCTGGTCAATTCATAGGTGGACCCCGTATCACCAGTGCCCGGATTGACCACACTTCGTTCGATATTGCTAGAAGAAACAGGAAAAAAGGCAGAACTATTACCGCAAAAATAACGGGCCCGGCATTTGATCCGTTTTTAAAAAAATGCAGTCAAAGTAGACTACTTCAACATGGGTACAGAGAAGAATGACAAATGCAAAGCTGTCAAGTGTAAAGACAAAAAGCAGAAAATAATGATGCACAATAATAGGTTATTTTGTCACTTTATTTCAATAATAAATTATGCTTAACAGAAAAATCATTACTAAATTTTGACTTTGCACAACAAGTAACATATATATTAGGAATATGTAACGAGCTAAGCGAATATAAAACGTAAGGTTTCAGATCCATGAGAATTCGAATTCACACATTCAAAATACCGGAATGAGAAAAATAAAAATTTCACAAACAATTGCATAAATTCAAGAAAAAAATTATCCAATCAAGCTGGTTTTCCAATATGAACTGTACATACTTTAAAGACAAAGTATACTCGAGTCCACGAGTACGAGCTGCCATGCAGAACAGAAACCTGACATTTAGTGTAAGCCTCATCTATAATAAAGACATGTTTGAGCCACATTTTATGTCATCATAGAAATAGTTATAATTTAGATTTAAATTTTAAAAATTACATGAATAATGTAAAGCAAAATGCTTAAATGTACATATTTAGTCTTAACAAAATATATAGTTCAAAAGTAGTGCAATATCACTCTTAAAGAGGACTGGTTGCTGTAAAGCACATAATTTGTGCAACGAGTACAAATTTGATCTTCTGTAATTCTTGATCCTGTCCGTTCCAGGTTGTGAAAATGTTGATTGTGGTTGTACTGCTATTCGCCGTATGCTGGCTTCCATACCACGTGTTCTTCTTGCTACAGTTTGAGCACGATCACATATTTCACTATGACGGAATACAGTATATATGGCTGGTTGTCTTCTGGGTGGCAATGAGTAACACCATGTTCAACCCAATCGTTTATGTTTGGATGAACAAAAGGTAAAAACAGACCCGACGATGTCTTTTGCAATTAGCGTTTTTAAGCATTAGATTTTTCTTTAAGTTTAAACTTTATTTTATAGGCGTTAATGAAGAGGGTTGATTAAATGTTATGTTTTACTTACCGTCTTGCTGTTGTCATATAAAAAGTCTTTTTTCTTGTTTTAAGCTCTGCCTTCAAGCTTTAACATCACCTAATTATTGTGTCTACGTGATTGATAAACCTCCCACCCTTCTCAAATAAAAACCTATGGGTTCACAAGAAAAATGACCTCGTTAGATTTGCTTTTTTCCGCGCCGCTTCTGAAGGAGCGCCGTCGGCCTTGATTGTGTTGTCAGATATGTTTCTGTATTATCCTACTGGCAATGGATGTGTCCCCATTCTGCTGAAAATGCAATTATTATCTGAATAGAAGCAACGATAGTCAAAAATAAGATCATCATTTTGAGGTCTACGAAGTCATAATTCCGGTCAATCCGACAATGCAGCCCGTTTCTTATGTTTTTTTTTTAGCTGCAGCGCAGTCCAGTAGAACTATTAGTCGTAGATTTAATCACGCATTTCTTTTAACTTTTTGCATATGAGCAATTACCGCCGTAGGTTCTATTAGACTTTATGATATTGTTTTGGTATTTAGCGCCACGTCATTAATGCAAATATACGTGTAATATAAGTTGAAAGAAATATAAAGCAAAATTATTTTACCGAGATGTCACTAAAACATAATGTATTATTTTTTTAATGCCCGATAGTTCCAATCTCGCAAATATTATTACGCATTTTTTAAAAACTTCCTTTGGGACATAACACTGGGCATGAGTTTTTCCCTTTAAGACGGGCGACTGTGCTACTTTTTGATTTGGTTACAGTGAATTCATCTGTGCCTGAACTGGTTTATCATTCCTAGTGTGGCCTGACGTTTTCGCTCATTACAAACGCAGCTCTACAACTAACTAAATTTTGCCATTTGACGATCCCAAAGACCAGATTAATAAGCCTTGTCCGCTGCGCTTTAAATTAACTAGTTTGTTGGTCTGCTGCCGTCAAACCACGCAGTCAAATTTTTTTCCGGTCTCAGTTCGTCCTTGGTATGAAGAAGCATTTCGACATTTACAAAGGAAATTATCTATTCTCAAGAGATATAATGTGATACGGAGTTTATTCTATTCCAAGTTTGTCAGAGTTGGTATCATTTATCACTTCTCTCGTTTACTGAAACAGAAGATCTGTCAAACTATCCCTTTAAGTAGCTTTCAATATAGTGAAATATATCTGCTTTTGCTTTGAATTATTGAGTGATGAAAAAAAAAATATATATATATATATATATATGCACATTTTTATCAAAAAGCATCACAAATTTATGTCTTATGCCTTTCCAGATTCCGCTGTGGGTTCAAATCATTCTTTCGCTGGCTGCCGTGCGTCCATTACGGCAGAGATGAAATGAAGGTCCTGTTCAACTCCCAAGCGTCATATCCGTGTATGACTTTATCGGAGGATTCGGCCAATCCACCGTTCTTACTTATGTCACGTATGAGATATTCCAGGAACTATTAAAATTACATTTACCAGGAAGAAAAAGTGCCCATAAGGCTTTGACTTTATCATTTTGGAAAATGGCGAAACAAACGACTGCTCTTCATTCAATGTTAGACGCACACAACCTTTTCTCCGAGATCCTGGCCATCAAACAACTAGATACGCACAGATAGAGGATAAAGTGTCACTTATACAATCTGCTGTGATTGCAAGATGACATAATAGAACATTTGGGCATACAGGCAAAGATGAATGTTGTTTTAATGGATGCCTTAATGTTGTTCCAGAATGAACCCATTCATTTGTTACAAAAAATGTCATTTGTCAAGTTAATTATTTTATCATATGTGATAAAGATTAGTCACAAGAAACACCACAGCTTCACATGAAACTCCTGAGACAGGAGTTGTGGCAGGAAGTTAAAAAATATATGAATCTAAAGTTAATTTATTTATACCCAGCAAACACAGAGCGTTACTACATGTATAACGTTTATTTAACAAAAAAATATATATATATAATAATAATAATAAAAAACAACGTTATGGTGACATTTTGGTAACGTTCTGTATTCGCTAAGATCCTAGCCATAATGTTTACTTATCTCTATTGCGAGTCATTAAAGCATCCATGGATTAAAATATGTCCAGGGATAAAATTTTTCAGCAATCCACTTTGGTACGTAAACATTATCTGAGATTCTCATATAGCTTAGCCATGTTCCATACGGTTTTTACAAAAACGTTTCATGCTAACTTCAGAAAATAGACGCTCGCCCCCATTCTCCTCGCTATCAGGCACTCCACCCTATTCCAGGAAGTTCATCTGACAGGTGGACGGTTAGAACAAAAAGGGTTTGAGCTGAAATTTGCTTTGGAATGGGCATCATCTGGGACTTACCGAGTGGGGCAAAATAAATAAATAAATAAATAATAAAAATAGATAAATAAAATAAAAAAATAATAAAAAGGGGGGGACCAGCGGGGACAAATGAGAGACAGAGAATCTCTCCGCGGTTATTTTCAGGTTGCTTTTTTCCTAAGGGCTAGATTTTATTTGCCCCGGCCGCCGTACGATCAGAACGCATTCGATTTTTTTGTTGTAAGTGGCTACGGGGTGCGGCGAGTACGTATACATTACGTGCGGGTGCCATGCCATTCCTCCGACGTAACCTTGAAGTCCCATACGGAAAATTAGGGGTTTTGGTTGAAAAGTGATCGTACGGAGCCCTGTCAGTGTCACTGCAGTTGAAATGCGACTTCCTTGCGATTTCATTGAAGAGATATACACGTTGTCAGAGCAGCCCCAACGACTTTTTTCACCATGTGGTCAGAGTAAAGAAAAGCTAAATTTCAAATTCATAGAAATGAATAACACTTAAATTTAAATAGCTTCATTATTGATATGCCTCCTAAAACTACCAAAGGTGGAAGGAAAAGAGACCAACAAAAGGTCCAACCATTATCACGATCACCGTGAGTCCATCGAACAATACCCGTATGGAAATGTGCAATGCCATCCATAATGCTTTGGCCTACGGGCTTATGATTTCAGAAATTTGTCAGAAGTTTTAGTTTGACAAAATCGTAGATACTACGGATGCCGTGAATCCGTACGATTTCGCACGACCACCATCTGCCTCCGAACAGACGCCGTACGCAGGGGCGGATTTAGGGCGTCTTCTGGGTCTTCCTGAAGACGGTCAGATTTTCAAGTTTACATTGGCGGGTATCTAATTTTTTCTGTCGGAAGACGGTCAAAAATGAAGAACGGATCAACAAAGATAATTTGGAAGACTGTCAGGAAATAACTCTGAATCCGCCCCTGGTACTACGAGGGATTTACGGGTAGTATACGAGCACTACATGGGCATCGTATGGCAATGTAATCTAGGCTTAAGTACTGTCCAATGACGGTCTGTTGCAAAATAGAACAAATCTATCAGGTTTTGGATTAACTTTGTCATCTGAATGGTTTCCAAGAAGACATTCCCAACGTACAGAGATTCACACTTATCGCTGGAAAAAAAGAGGTCATGAAGATCCTAGCACGTCCTCCAGTCTTGTATAATTTTAGTATTAGATTATCACGAATATTTCCAAATTAAAAAAAACGCTCTGCGGGCACCCTATAGTTCTCGTGTTAGATCTAGAGATTTAATGTGACTCTTTATTACATTTATGGATAAATAAGGTATTTTTAGGCATAAAAGTATTTGCGCTAGGTTCAAAAAAAAGGTTTTCGAACTCAAGCTGTGTATTAGACCTATAAATCACTCCTCTACGTTAGTAAATGATAAGTAACATGGGTTTACATTTATTTGGTTAACTACGGAAGTGCACAAAATGTTTTGTTTGTGCAAAAGTACATAAAAGTCGCATCACCATCACCAACGAGTTTAAATTATGTACTACTGTTAATTTGGACATTCAGAAAATGTAACTACCACAAGGCTTCAGACTCATGGGAATTCATAATCAAACAAAGAAAATGCAAATTTGTGGAAAAATCATAAAAAATGTCATAACTTCAAAAAATATAATCCAACCAAGAGGGTTTCGAACTCGAGACGTATGGTAGTCCTTTAATTCTTTCCTGTTTCTTTCAGTTTGAGAATAGGGATGAGATGAGACTTTTAGTGAAAAAAATGAAAAATATGTCATCGGGTTCAAGGGGGCGCCTAGACCAATGATAGTTTTGGCTTCCAAAAATTCGGAAATCCGCCGATATAGGGAAGATCTCAACCCTGTGAGGAGTAACACGGTTTTCCTTTTATTGGGTAAACGAGTCTCAATTCCAGGGAAGTGCACGGCAACTTTGACGGCAACGGGTGATGGCTTATGTTCAAATAAACATAAAAATCCTTGAAAATGTAAATTAATTAATAATGAAAACGGTTGATTTGAAAGTTCGTCCACGTAAATTAAACAAGATCAAAATAAATTGAAGAAATTAAGTTCAGGCTCTAACAACTATTACAAAATCAAATTCATAATGCTGTGCTAGATTTCAGACCTGCTGTTCCACGCAAAGTTCTCAATAAAGTTACCCCTGCAAAGTTCACAGTAAAGTTAAGTATTTAATGATTTCAACACAGGCTCTGAATGTACACCAGTCGATTGCCAAGGCATTTGCTACCTCATTACAATGTACCTCAAACGAAGAAGTTTCATGTTTTCATCGGCATTTGTTTGTCCAAGTTGTGGTTAGGAAAGCACAAAAGGGTTTTCACTAATTTTGATAAAATTTTCAGGATGGACAGCTATATTAGGGCGAAAAGAAGTGATTAATATTTCGGTCTCTTCCTTTAAAGAATTTTATCCCCTTTCACCTTGGCGGGGGGTCTACGCTCTTAATATCGTTTCAAACGTTTCAAGAAATTGTACTTAGAATTTCGTTGTCTGCAATATATCAATTTTCTTTAATGATTGCCTGTGTCTATTACGAACCAGAATTTTATTTCATCAAGGTCCCGACTGAGGAATGTTTAGTACATTTACATTTATAGGCCTAGTATTTCAACGCCTCTAAATGATATCAATGTGTTTCTCGTTAGTATACAAAATTATAGTTATTGGCCGACAAGGGTAACGATCAATAAACCTATTTACTATTGATGAAATGTCTTAAGACGAGCTGCAGGATTATGTACATTACAACTTACTACTTAACTTATATTACTGTTCGCGATGTGAAGGGCGATTTAGATAGTACACCATACATTGTACATCCTCTTTATTTAGAGCGCACTGTAAGTGATACGATATATCAGTGTCATTTATAATGGAGTCATTAGAATTTGTCACAAAGTGAAGACATTCTCTCTGTCAATCTGAATATTGCTACTGAGAGCACAAGTGAAGTGGTATTACTAGGAAATACAGTACATTGCTTTAACCGAAGAAAAGAAATGATCTAATTAAATTTTTGTAATCTAGATGACGACCATTAGCAAAGCAATACCTTCACACATTTTTAAATGTCAAAACCTAGGGAGCAGGCTTAAGTTTGGGAATAGATAAGTGCTGTTTGTTTGTTATTTAATTAGAAATGTGGTCTGAAATAAACATCGTTAAAAAACGTGTCGGTACTTGTATTAATATCCAGCAAAGCACTCTGTTGGTGACATGGAAAATGAATAGAGACTTCAATTACATCGTTTCTCAGTTTTGGCGTGCTCTACCTTATTATTGAGTTTCTAGAATTGGTGCTCAGCGGACTGTTCTTGTAATATCCTTCACAGTGACCTTCCCAAGGCTCCCAACAGTTTGGGGAGAAAGGAATTCATGTCCCGTAGGAAAAGATACAATGTTCGGTGTATGGAAAAAACAGGATATTGGGTTATGCATTCTTTGAAAATGATTGCGCTACCCAGACATAAACGCCAGGCGTTGTCCTAAACTGGACGCCCATTAATCCCGGTGGACGTACTTTACTAAGATGGTTTAAATCAATGAAACAAACTGGCATTTTCAATATCTCAACATAAATTTTCAACATTTTCACCACTGAAAGGTGAAACAGTCGTTTACAGGCCCTTATTTAGTTATGGGGCAAACAACATATTTCTTAGTGCTGTATTGCTTTTCGAAGATATTTTTATCTGCGTTTGAAAATGTCCCAAAGTCATATTTTGTATGTCTACATTTCCTGCAAAGCTACTTATCTTTCCCAATCCAGACATTAAAAAACGATAAAAATCCCCTCAAATTAAAGTACCTGATGTCGATATTTCATTCTAAAATGTACAGGAAGACATCGAGGTGCTTTTCACATCGTGCATTACACGTATCGGTATGAAAATACTTCAAGCGGTTTAAATATGTAATTACGTTACGTTTTTTTTTTACTCAGTTTCGCTTCCATCTGTTTGGACCAGTCAGAATCACCCAGTTAATTGGCCGTGTCAAACATGGGGGCTTTGTTTAGATTTCTCTCTTACGTAAGTGTTTTGATCCAGATACGTGTGACACACGATGCGAAAACGACCTTCTTGTAAGTCGTTTAGTACAAAACGGCAATCCAAGTGCAAGGATTTGAATAGGAAAATTGCTTTTTCTTCGACAAAAATTTAATTTGGTGGGGAACTTCCGGACATGGTGACTAAAATAAAAACCCTTATTGTCGCTTATCAATTCACTGCTGTCCATTTTCTTTACTGATCTGCTTGAAAGTTATACATTTTTCGCAAAGTAAAGAAAATGAATAAATGAAATTAATCAAAATATCAGTTTGTCAATTATCGGGTGAACGGGACAGAAATCGATGATAAAAATTTTTAAAAATTACATTTTGGGTGAGATCAAAAGAAAGGTGAGGCTGTTGCTTCCTCTGCGTTAGGCTACAGCATATAAATAACTGATTTGTCACTTATCAATTTACTGTTAAAGAAAAGAACATAACATTCAAGTAAAGTGGTATTAATAAAGCTGTTATTTAAACTTGGGGCTCATCTCCAATGAAACTATCGTTCTACGTAGATCGATCCAACTCCGCGGAGGCTTTCGCTGAATGCTATCAGTTTAACACGCCTTCTCCTCTTTCCAACGCACTCGTGTAACCAATAGCTTTTCTGCATTCTCCACAACGCCAGGAGGGGACATGTTAATTTCTTAATCTGATTGCATTCAGAGAGAGTCCCTCGGAGTTGGTCGATCTACGTAGAACGATAGTTTCATTGGAAATGAGCACTCAGATTCAACCGCAGAGAAAAGGGATTTGCGGGCGATATACGAGTACCGAACGGACATCGCATGGCAAATGCAATCTAAGCTTAACAAATTTAAAGGAAAAGCGAATAAAATGTTCCCTCTCCCAGTCCCAACCATCAGTTTATTCTTCCACCATTAGGTTCACAAATCCATCTTCCATAAGTCTCCTTTTCAATACATCGAGTTTAGTTCCAGTCGTAAATAACCTCCAGTTTTTAAAAATCATGACGGTCAAGCAAGAAATTGATAGAGACGTTTTTTTTCTTTTAGACACAACTGAACCCAGGGTTATTATCAGTCGAGATGAATCAGTTTAAGTTCAGTGATGCCATTTGTGCAAAGGTGTTCCTTTAGGCCACTTAGGTGATATTGAATTCCCCGCCAAAGGGCAGTGACAGTTTTCAGTCATGTTTATCCAAGTTTTTTTTTACATCTACCGGCTCTTTTGTATAAACATTTCGAGTAAATTTTCAGTTCTTGATCGATTTGAAATCACGCCGAGTAAATACGGCAAAATGTGCCGCACTCCGAGGTCCAGCGCTAATTGTACTTAATAAGAGGCGAGTCCATTCAAAGTGGGGTGACCCGACTCGACTCGGCCTCCACCAGTTGCTGAATAGTTACTGAGCAGACGGTCTGACCGTTGTATTAATATAAAATTGGGACCAAATTTGTTGTTGCATCGAGTCTCGCATCGCAAGACGTGCGTACTATAAAGGAAGTAGATAGGAACCAAGGTGCCCTGCGAGATGGGTCCCGTCGACATAAGTCGCCTCAGCTTGACTGTAAATACGACTTGGGGGTTATTTGCGTCCGAAACGATCCGAGTGCATGCAGGTTCTACATTAAGCAGTTATCAGGATCCGAGAGATTGAGCCAATAAATGAAATCTGTAACAATTTTACATTAGGGGCAACAGATTAGATCACATTAAAGAAATCAGCACAGTCAGCTTAGATCTCGGCATCAATTATTGAACTGATGGAATAAATCGAATTGAATTGAATAATTAGTTTTCGCTTGAACTAAAAACAACCACCATGGCGTCTGGAAAAATCAAAAGAATAAGTAGTACCAGATACCTTTCTGTGACTTGAAAAAAAATCAGAACAACAGACAAAGATACATATAGGTTTTATTATTGTGATTATTTCTTCAATGCTAATTTTTACATCTTCATAATATTTTTGTATTGCACATGTTCGCTTGGAATAAATATCAGATGCTTCATAACACAAATTACATCCACATTCTAACACCTTTCAGATACTGACTTTTCTGAAATACAGAGTATTTTTCTTTTGATATACAGTAATATTTTTTATTTCTCTGCCTATCTACATTTCTCTCCAAAATAAATAACAGGCAAACCAAAATATCACATTAACAGGTGTGCTGATAGTGCAGTTCACCTGTATCAATTTAACTACTTTTGAACTGTTTTACCGCATAATTCATGGTTCACAAAAAAACTACCATGATAAATAACGCAAGATTTTGAAAAACATCACCAACATGGCACCCTTGCTTACTGAGCCTTGACGGCTCTTTGTCTTAGCCACAACCTTGTACAAAATGCCCAGTGAAAGAGGTTATCTGCAGCAGCACTCGACAGGAAAAAAGGTTGACGTTTGACTCATTCCTGATTGTGAATTGGTATGTTGTATATTTCATTAAAGACAGACATCATCCTGTAGAATAAATATTACAAAATATCGGAGCAAAATTTTTGTTGGTGATGATCCTGATGCAATATTTAAAGTGAATGCATCCCAAGAGACCTTAAACGCAATAAAACGCTTAATGTTGAAATCAACTGTGAAAACCAAGAGATAATTAAGAAACCCACTGGGAATGCTATCAAAATTTAACTCCATCTTCAACCTTCTACAACACATCCACCAAACCCTTAAACAGAATAATCATAACTGTAAAATGCAATGAAGGCTGAATACAGAAATTTGGCTAAGCATTAAACAGCACCAATATTGTGTGAATCAGTACCAAATCAATAATAATCAATGTTCCAGGTACAAGAATATGGAAGCCAAGCATATTACTTGTTAGCAGTACCAACTGACAATAATCATTTGTACTGCTGATCTGTTCCAATCCTATTAAAGGTAGATTGGATATTGCTTTACTGATAAACTTAACACCAATTCACAGCTCCATGTAGCTATTCCTTTTGTTAAGGACCAATCTAATTTAAAGGAAAGATGGGCCGTTGCCCTTAAAATTGCCAATTCTCTTTAATTAACTGAATATCTTTTATCATGCTGAGCTGATAAAATTTCCAATCAAATTCAGAACTGGGATCTCATCAGTGTTTTTTTATATTACACAAATTTATCTTCTATTTCAAAAAGAAACTGTCTTCTAAACATTTTAGAGGATTGTGGGAAATGGGCTTGATGTCAACTTTATCTTCTGCCATCATCATTACAATTCAAAGAATTCATCTTGTTTCTTTTCAAATAGTTCAGAAGAATTTTCCAGCTGTTTTGTTCTAGCTCTAGGCCTTGTTACAACAGTCTCTGGAACAGCCATGGGATCCGATTCTAAACTTGGAGGTCGCTGCCTGGAACCCATCTTTGTTCTTCTTTGTGGTAAATGAGATAGGGGGTTGGTTTCATCTTCAAACATGCTGGAAAAATTAAAACATTTTTATTGTCATCTAATTTCAATTTTACAAGTCATCGTTACATTTTTATCATATTGCACCCTGAACAGAAACTGCCTTTTTTTTGCAAGAATCCAGGGTGCTTTCACTCATTACTCAGCCTGTTATTCTACATTAGATGTTCCCGTGTTAATGTGACTATAGACCTTAGACCTACCTACAAAGGTGAGAGCTATTTACTTAACTCTCTTTGTCATGGTTAAGTGTAGAACCTATATAATATCCTGTCAAAAAAAGGTTACCCTATATAAAATCCCAGCAATATCACTGCCAAAATTATATTTTAGAACAAATATGGTATTAAACTTGTTTTATTACAACCATTCTCGGGCACCCTATTGCTATTATGTTCAGATTAAAGATATTGTGTGACTTTTCATTACATACATACATTGGACAAGGCAGTTTAGCATTAACCCAAGTTTATTTTAAATCTCAAAAAACATTAATGAATAAAAGCAAACTGATTTTAAAGTTCGTTCATGTCAATTTGCCAAAATCTTTATGAATTATATAAATGAATTAGTCCATGAACCCTCTTATCTACTGTTTTTAGACTTTTAAACTGTAAAGGACTTTATGGAATCCCTCAACTAAATAATGCTGTATTAGTTTTAAAACTTGTTGCTTCAAATAAAGCTAAGTACCTAATATATATAATGTTTTCAACTGGTTGCACGATAAAAAAACTGTTCACTTGACAAATGACACTACAACTCTCAGAAGGCAGCAACTGCTACTCCTAATTAGTCTGGCAAACAAAAATACCCTTGCACTCTGTCTCAAGGAAAAGCAACCACACAAGCAGAAAACTTCAACTATGTTAGCCACTGTCCATCATGGTATTGTTCTTGCATGTAGTATAATATACCTGAATAAATTATCCCCATACAAGAACCATTTTAACCAAAATGGGGTTACTGCAGTTGACAACAATAGGATAAATATAGCAAATGTGTTACACCATGAATTCATGATTTCCATCCTTCAAACCAGGTGTTTTACTTTCAGCCCAAATCAACTGCTCCACCCACACATGCTTCACATCTATAAACAAAGTGTAACTATCATTAAACTGCCACTTGAACACTGGTTCCATGCCAAATGCTAGTAAAATTGAAGCTGGGCACATACAATATTGAAAATTTGCTCAGTTACTGGCCACTTTTTCTACTTTAGGTCAGTACTAGTAGATTCTTAGGCTTTATGTCCTGAAACTGTGAATGGCCAGTAAGATTAGACGTTTCAGACGCAGACTGTTATCACGTATCCAATGTTACACCTACACATGGTTATTGCTACCACATATTTCTGGTAACACCCACATATCATTTATTGCACACACATATTTCCCCTTTACATGAATGGCAAACACCCACAAATCAGGTACTTCACTCACACACCAAATAGGTGTTAAAACATCACCTCAATGGTTTTGCTCACACATCCAAGTATTATAAACACCCACACCATGTACAACTGCCACATATCATGTGTTACATCAACAAATGTGATTTTAATCTGTCCAGACAAGGCTTTGTTTACCAAACAATAGAAAACCTCGTTACTGTCATTTTAGGGCAGACAAACATGCTTGCATCTTAGACTCAGACAGTGTAATTTCCTGTTGAAACAATCTGGTCAACTGATGATATAAATAAATCTGATATATAGTTTGAAATACAGTTACTCTGGATGGACATTCAGTTTATACAATCTTGCCAAAGAAAAGAAATGAAAAGGCTTTTGACAGACAGAGGGGAATACAATGGGGCATCTGTGTAAAGAAGATAGCTATGCCCATGAGAAATTGGAATGGAAATTAACAACTTTGTGGAGTTTTTGTACTATTATAGGCTTCACCTAGTCTAAAGTCAATTAAGTCTGTATTTGTGCAGATGCATGAGAATTGTTATTATTTTAATGTCACACTGGTTGTCACTGTTTCAAGCGAACTATGGAGGTTCACATGACGCAAATTCCGATTTAATCTGAATTTTTCTTATTTAAAAAGCAGCATGGTTTATCAATTTTCTTTGATTTAATTTAATCAAATTAGTTCCATGGGATGATTGCATATTTTCATAACAATACACTAAATAATGTCTTTGCTCTCTCTTTCTCTTGAGCTATATCAATTAATTTAATAGAGCACCTGACGTAAAATCAGATTTCCTCCCAATATTTCCCAGTATTAATTATATCAATTATCAAATTGAGACAAAAATTATTAATAAAATTATTATGTTACAGAATGCAGTAATCCAGCAAAATCATTTATAGTTCTATTAAGGTTTTTTAACCTAATATATTCTAATACAAAGCACATAATCTGGTTGTCTTAAAAGTTTCAATTAATTAGAAATGACACACATGAATCTTATTGGACAGCTTCATTTAATTTAAGCAAAGAAAACCTGACCTTCAGGCCGAAAACCACATTTCAAAGGGAACACAGATATTTCTGATTTGAAGAAAGTCATAACCTTAGCATCTCATTCTGACCTTTTCAACATTTAAAGGGCATTATATCCACCTATAAAAAACATTCACTAAAATAAATTGGTCTGTCGAAGAAGGCATATAAACAGCATGCTGCAAACAAAATTTGACTTCATGTTTTGATACCTTTTCAGTTATATATAGCTGATAAGATGATATATTTTCCACAACCAACTTAAGTTTCAAAATCTCCATGAAATTACATAAAATCACTTAATAAATTGAAAAAAATCCTTTTAGATCAATCAATCATCGAAATTGTCAATGTCTCTCTATAATGGCTTGAATTCAGACTTTTTTTCACAATGTGAAAAGCACTACTCATTAAGAGAAAAAATATACACAATGTCTAGGAAATCATACGTGACAGAACAAGTCTGGCTCTGTGCTCTTTAATGTGTCATTATATCTATTTCCAGTGGCTTTGTGATAAATAAGGACGACTGTTCACTTGACAAGTGACACTTCAACTCTGAAAAGGTAGCAAATGCTACTCCTAATTAGCTTGAAGGCTACAACATAAAAATCCCCTAGCAGAAATCAAAATCTGAACAGAGAATTTTACTTTAAATTTACTGTAAATTTCGGAATCTTTAAGACTGCATGCTATGCTACATGCAGGTAAAACAATAGTTATAAGAACATGTGTAAATAAACAATAAATATCTAAATTTCACTGTAAGGAATTATGTTGCCTATTCATCAGGTCTGCTTAAACCTGTCTTAAATTACATCCTTGCCAACATGAGCTTAATATCACAATTATTGTGATAGAGCAAACAGACAAACTTCAATGCCTCTTCTCAATGCAATAGTTGAACCTCTCTTGTCATTTCAATCCAAGCAAATGCATCTTTCTCACATCAGTTGAACATAGTAGAAAAGTTTGAATGTTTTACTAAACTGACCTACTTATAATCAAATTATCGAAATAATATAGTTAGATTAGGACACAATTTCTGTTCAACATATCAATGTAAAATGAGTGCTCACATGCCAATCCACAACAATATTTTGTCACAGGTGTCAACTGTTGTAAACAGAAATAACACAGTAAATTATGAATACTCCTGTAATTTTTTTTTCATGACAAATCTCTACAAGTTTATATTAAGCCAATATGAAAGGATTACTTAATAATAACTGAGCCAACCAGCCAACAATTAACGGTCAGTCCCTCATAATTTTTTGAGGTGCAAAATATTTTGGTAAATAAAAAAAGATCACTTTAAAACGACAGTTGCTTGTATAAATATCTTAATTTATGTAAATCATCTATGTAAAAAATCATTTATATCAAAAGCATCTTAGACTGGGTTCCCATACTTAGATCGTCCCATCTGGATTGACCTAACTCCCTGGGGGTTCACGCTAAATTTCTATCAGCTCAAGAGGTTTAAATGGCTGTCATGCCTACCGAATCAACTAGGGGTAAAGATAATTACCCCCTAAAAGTTTCAGTATGCGTGACAGACGTTTCAGCTGGTTAGTTTGATAGCAATTTAGTGAGACTCCCCAGGGAGATAGATCAATCCAAATATCTGTGGGAATGGTCCCTTAAACTCTTTGTTATTAGCACAGATGTGGCTGGAGGCAAACATGTCATCAGGATATGACAAGCAAGCACGTGCCAGTGAAATGTCAGCCATATTTTATCAGATTTCTGACAAATGGGTGACAATAGCAAACCTGCTGATATATGGGAAACAGGTTATGATAAGATGTGCATTCTGCAGTGATTTAAAAATGAAATGTACCCGTGAATCATTTTCAAATACAACAGCTCGAGAAAATCAATATCTATCACTTGGAGAAAACACCCCCTCGTAGTTATTCAGAATTTTCATCCTCCATTCTACTATTAGGAACCCCAAACTATGGACTTCAGTTCCCAAAATGTTTAACAATGACTCGTTATGTCCTTGAACATACTGAAAAAAATCATCAAAAATTAAACAAATCATGATATGTCAAGAAATTCCATATTTCTAACATAAAATCTACATGTACTCCTGGACAAACAAAGTGTAATATTTACAAAAATGACATAGCATACTCCTCACAAAGACTTCTGCTGGTAATTTATGTGTTTACTGACAGAGGGCTTAACTGACACACGAGATTCATCTATGTCAGAGCCCAGGTTGAGGCTTACCCCCCCCCCCCCTTCATCACTTTTGAAAAGTGGGGTGCTTGACCCCTATACACATGGCTTCCTTCAATCACAATTTAAACCCATCTTTTAAGAGGATAGAAACATTTTCCAAATAGAAATGAGGTTCAGGCATACTGGTGTAAAGACAGCAGTCATAGAACGTATTCACAACCAAAGTTTATCCATTAACTAACAGATCCCTGGCTCAAATATGGCTGAACCACTTGAAAGCCTACCACTGATCCCTGCAGGTAATCTATTCAGTGCCTATTAGGAGATTATCCAACAAGATTTCCGTGGATCAAATATGATGGACCCTACATGAAAGAAGAGACGACTAATCGGCTGATGGTCTCCCCGCCTTCACACGCACCATTAAACAGATTAAATCACAGCTCCAAGGATTAATTACTAGATTCCTGCAAGAATGGCACGTGTGAAGCCGGGAGACCATCAGCGGATTAGTTGGCTCTTCTTTAATGTTGGGTCCACCATATTTGATCCATGGTTCATCTGATGTGAATGCCCTCTTGTTCTGAATGTGTTCAGAAGACATTGTCAGTGGTGTATTACATCATCAGTCAGCTGTAGCATAAGTGACCAGCAGATGTCCCCCTGGGGGAGACACTATCTTTACAGATACTGCACATTTGGAAGTCCAGTATAATTTAGTGTAAAATAAAGATATAATCATATGGCAAGTAACCTACTTAACCTTATCAAGAAATTTCACTTTCTTTTATGAATCATTCATGCTTTTTTTGAAGACTGAAACTTGGGTGTCAAATCTAAGTCAAATCAAACATTAACAGAATTCCCATTTCCCTCAAAATGAAATGATCATGCATGTTAGAATCAAACAATTAAACGTGTGTGAAATCTACCTGTGAGTGATTGAAATCATATTCCTAAATGCTGGAAAGTGGGCCCCTGAAACAAAATAAGCAGGTGCTAAAATGATGGGTGGGGTCAGGGCAGAATATGGCAGTTGCGCTATAAATCCCATGTAGTGAACACTACAGGATCTGTTGCTTTGGACAGATGGTTAATTGTATCAATAACAGGTTAATATTTTAGAGAAACAACAGATACCAGGGATAGATCAGATAAACTGAAATAGATTATCATCTGGAGGAAGTTAGGCCCACCCACATTGCCCTAGGGATAGAATGGCTTGGTAAAATAAATGTGCCTGTTGACACTAGCAATAAATTTTGCTTGATCCTGGTTCACATCATACTTTTATGGTGGTAATTTTGAATAAGTTTGTGCATTAGAAATTGACATCAACTTTTGGGTTGCAATTTCAAAATAAGCTCTGTTTAAACCAGGACCACTTAACACAAGATTGAACAAGTTGCAACATCCAATTACCAGATGGATATCACACTGAGTCTCAGATTCTGGACATAGTGGGCTTCATTTACACAGAGCTACGTGTATAAACTTTTGCAGTCTATGTGAACACTGTACCAGGTGGTTTGAACTCTTGCAAATCAAATCCACCAGTGTAAAAATATAAGTTGTGAACAACAGTGCTCTTGATAATGTTGAAATCAGTATCACAATGACTCTGCAGACATACATATCAATTATATTCTGTGCTTATCAATAAATGATAATGCTAATAAAAAATGCAAAATGTGAACTCCTAATTTCGTATAGGGTAAAACTGGGGGGGGGGTTGGAGGGGGTAGGAGAGGGGGTTGTTAATACCTAACTGTTGGCCCATCCTTAGTAAAGTCACGTTGGAACTGTTCTAGTTCAGGACTGCAACAGACAGTTAAGAGAGACAAGGTCACCACCACAAGAGGATAAAGATAGGAGAGTTACTGTTAAATTTTCATTTAGTAAATCTGAACTGTTTTGGTGATATATGTAGGTTAAGAAACACTGGCACAAACAGCTAAAATAAATCAAACATGTTCTGACAATATCATCTAGCATATTTACACAAAGTATTCTTGAATATACATCAATATATACTAGTAGATAGTTCAATGAGCACAGTACTTTATCATATGGACATTGCAAATAATCATAGACATCTGTCAGATTGCATTCCAGTGTTAAAAAATGCATACTTGATATACAAACCTGCACCTTGTCCTTGACATATCATTTTTGAAGAGTCTTATTACTTCAATTGAGAAAATTTGTTTAGGATATTGTTTTTAACACTTAAAATACCTGGCAATATTTACATTAAATATCTTATTTGAAAAAGCTGAGATGTAAAAAAAAAACGTATTTAATAATTCCAGGTGTGGGTTGCTTCACTGAATTTTTTCAGCATAATAAAGGCAATTACCTTTTTCTGTCCTCTAATTTTTGTACATTAGTTTTAAGCTGAGCAAGTGTAGTATCAAATCTGCTCAAAAAATCCTGAGCTGTAATACTGGAAGCTTCAATATCACTGTTTGCTGTGTGAGAGTTTTCAGTTTTGCCATCAATGTCCCCATTAGGACTATTTCTGTTAGTAGTCAGCAGAGTAGCTGGTTCCCCACTGATGCCTTCTGGACTAGATGAAGTCACAGGAATAAGTAAAGTTTCCCTCAAAAACAAACTGTCATTAGTCCACATTTTATTAGCACGTTTAAGATCCTGCATCTGAAATGGAAAAAAATTGACATATTTGAAATAACTCAATATCAAAGACTGTTTGTGTGTGTGTGTGTGCGTGCGTGCATGTGTAGGGCAGGGGAAGGATGGAGACGAAAGGGGGGTGAGAGACACAAGTACCTTACATTTGAAAATAAAGTCTGACCTTTCAATATAAAATGTTAAAAATAGTTTATTTATTATTAGTAAATTTTCTCCATGAAATTAAAATAAGATTTTTTTTTCACAATCTAAAAACTTAACATGTTTTCATCATTTACAAAAGAAAATTACTCATGATCTGGCATCATTTCCCCAATTTTCTAAAGAATTTAAACTAATATAACCAACTTGGAACATATTCAGCGTACATTTCATATATACAAATAACAAATAATGCCACTGCTTTTCTATGTTATGCACAGAGTAATTATTCAAGCACGATCCACAGTCTCAAAAAAACAATGATGTGCCAAAATGATTAGTATTACTCTAGTGATAAAAGGACAGATTTATAACGCGGTATCTCTTAAATATAATATATTGATATCATGTTATGTACAGTTCCTGTTAAAAGTAAGAAATTTCTGCATAGCTGAATGAGGTACCCCTTAAATGTTATATACTGAGTACTGATATCATATTACATATAGTTCCTGTTAACAGTAAAAAATTATTCAATGTCAGTGCAAATTTAGACTATAAATGAACTTTTTATTCGGCTTCAATTCGTGACAAAGTGTGTAGCTTCCACTTTCTTATCCTAGTTTCTTGATCCGACACCAAAATCAATCCTAAACAATTACATATAACATATAAAAGTTCATGAAAAACGTCATGTGACAACTTGTCAACTGACCGCTACACCGTGCACTATCAATGGTCTCGGTAACGTACCGGAATTTCATACTTCAAAGCAAGCCCTTGAAGCGTATCTCCGGGTTCAATCTTATGTGTGATGTATTTTTCATTGGTACGTTTGGTTTTTGTTGTACTACCATACTTGGCTTGTTTTTTAACAAATTGTCCCAGACCCTTCTTCTCTGTTGCCATCTTCTCATCCTAAATCGACTTTTCGTCCAAACCGGAAGTTCTATACTCTCGACGCGTATTTTTGTTCGAAAAGAAAAATATTTCTGGCTTTATTTTTGAATTTTTCCAATCAAACTAACGATATACTCTCATTAATACAAATCAGTAAAATAAAAAATAAATATAAAGCAAATAAAACATAAATATTGGAACTGATCTTTTAATTAGTACATGCGCACAAGAATGTTTAACTTCAGAAACTTCCGGCAGAGAAGCAGGTGCCCACAATGAGTTACCAACTTTACCGAAATACAACACTGGGTAATACTTTGCAAGAAAGTTTAGATGAGCTGATACAGGTAAAATTTCTAGTTTTCATGTTTATTTTGTACCTTTCAATAAAGTTTCATTTTTCCATCATCAGTCAAGGATGTCAGTTATCAAACCTCACCTTTCCTGTAAATGCGTTGTACATGTTATGTACACCCCTGTACTGCTACATAGGTATACTAGTTGTTCAGTTTGGGGGACCGAGACATCTTTATATATCTACATAACCCTGTCATTTATTTACATATTTATGTAAATGTCTGTTGCCTACAGTGTAGCATCTACATGTAGCTTTACAGTTTCTTAAGTGTAGTACTTGCCTCCAATGTTGTTTAGTTATGACGAGTGTTTTATTTCATTTTCAGTGTGGCCAAATTACACCACAACTTGCACTGAAGGTCTTATTACAGTTTGACAAGGCTATCAATAATGCACTGGCCACAAGGGTAAAGAGCAAACTGACTTTCAAGGTAAAAGTTTGAATAGTGATACCCATTTTAGTTCACTTGACATTACAAGCCAAGAGTGTATCTCAATATTATTACATTTATGAGTCAAGACCAAATATTGACATCATAATGGCATATTTCAATATTACATGTGTAAGTTAAAAGACAATGAATATGTATTTCACTTCTCTAGAATATGCAGTAATGGTACATCAAATAACAATTTAAGTTTTTCTTCGCAATGTTTAGCAAAACAAATATCAAAGTAGCATTATAAAAATGTTAAATAACACTTAGAAAAGAATTTCTTTGCTCACTCCAGTAGTTTAAGTAAGCTTTAAGTCTAATAATAAAGTCACTTTTATTAGAGGAGAGTGCAGTTACTAGTGTCATGGTAAAAATCTCTTTATCTTTCAGGGACATTTGAACACGTACAGATTCTGTGATAATGTATGGACCTTTGTACTCAATGATGTTGACTTTAGAGAGGTCACTGAAGTAGTCAAAGTGGATAAAGTGAAAATAGTGGCATGTGATGGAAAAGGTCGGTTTTTAAATGTCAAGTAATGTGTATTGTGTGAATGAAAGAAGATATTTTAAACTCTGGTTACACATGGTTTTTTAGTTAGCCAAACTCAAAAAAGTTTGATAAAAGATTCAGGATAGATCAGAAATGGGCAAACTAAAGATGAATAAGATTATGTTGGTGGTTCATTAATTGATAAACAAATAATGAGAATTGAACTGCCAAGGCTTGCTCTCTGAACCATATACATGTAATTACTGCTTGTTGCTTATAATTATGAAATGTGACTTTAATTATGGGCCACTTTGTTTAAACTTTCATTTTATAAATGATTTTTTTGTGTTTCTTTTAGGAGTTGGGACTACATGATAGGAGGATAAAACTATATCCAGGTATTGACACAAGCAGACTTTCCACCCAAGACTCTTAAGTCTGTCAAGTCATGTCTCAAGTGTGGTATTTTGTCTGGAAGCTCTTTTATATTTTATAAAGTACATATATGGGAACGTACAGCAGTGGCCCAATGGTTTAATTTTGACGATTAGAAAGTCAGGTTTTTCATTAATACCATGTCAATTTGAGGATGTTTTATGTTGTAAAATTTGCATACCATGTACACCATGTGAATATATTCATTGTAGCATTTAAAGAAATCATATGAAAGATGTCATCTCCATCTTGATCATCATGTAAAGCTTGAGTCTGAAAGTAGTCATCATTGGTGCCCTAATGTTTTTTTTTACTGTAACATTAAGTCGCTTGCGTTTAAAATGAGAAGAAAAAAAAGAAATTTGCATCCAGTCAGATATATTATTGTCAAATACTGTAGAGTATAATAATTTTTTTTACTGTAAAATAAAAAAAAATATCAAGTTGTACAAACCAAGAATGTTTTTTGTTATTTTGATCTCGTTATTTTGATAGAAGAAAGATTTAAGAACAAATCACCAATCCCATGTGAATGTGGTTTCATTATAATTGTGATCATTTAAAGTTACATACGAACTGAGTATCGGTTGAGCGTGGATTCCCAGTAACACTTAGGGTGTATTCCCAGAGATTTAGATCGATCCAGAGATTAAGATTTAGATCGACCTAACTCCATAGGGGTTCACGCTAAATTGCAGTCAGCCAAGCGTGCACCATAGTTAATTACCCCCTTACAGCTTTTAGTAGGTGGGATAGACGCTTAAGCTGGCTAAGCTGACAGTAATCTAGTGAGACTCCCCACAGGGATAGAACGATCTAAAATCTATGGAAATGGAGTCTTAAAGACCACTTCTACTAATTTCTTATACGACTCAAATAAATTTGACATGTGAAGGGATAAACTGAATAGATCACTCAATCAGCCGTAAAAGAGCTTTAGACTGCTTGTTTCTTTAAATTTTAGTGACCTACTTTTCTGCCTCATTGACATACAGCATCGAATGCTAGCAAAAAAATCCATTCAAACATCATTTTCAGGTAAAATTAAACAATGCTGGTAATTCACTTAGTTAAACTACTTGAAACTATATGCTGGCATTTGGTTGGCTTTTGTGGCAAAAATTCACTTTATATGCATCTTTAAATCTTGGTAGCGTTTGACCCAAAGTTTTTAACGAGCCTCACAAGGGCCATGGAGAAGATAAATTGTAAGTCAACCATGTTTTTACCCTCATGAAATGTTAAATATATAAACAAAGAGCAGATTATAAATAAGATTGTTTATTAAATCTTGTATTATACACATGAAAATTGATAATTTGCAAATTTATTCTTGCAAACGTTACATAAAAGATAGAACATTAATAAATAGAATATGACAAAGTCGATGAGATTGGAAATCCCTCGAAAGCAATGACAACACCAGGCCTTGGTTTCACAAGGAGGGTCTTCCCTAAGAAATGAGATCTTGGGATGTGCCAAAATTGCCAAAGTGAAAGCAAAGTATGTGTGGATGATGCCAAGACATTTTTAATATCAATTGCTATTGTTTTTTATTCACATTTTATACCCCTCCTTTCAAGACAAAGGATACCACAGAAAAGGTTTTTTCCAGAAAAAAATGGGTGACAAAATATCTGTGGGAGAATAGAGAGACATTAATGATATTAGACATGTAGATCATGGAAAAAAATGTACTCAATGGCACAAAAAAAGAGACCCTCTCAGTCTAATATAAAGTTATCAGTTGCATGAAGTTCTTTCATGGTAGTGTAATTGAGGAATCAATGAGTGTGAACCATAAAAAGGTACCGACTGTTCTAGTCAGCTTCTTCAACGAGAAGCAGGGTGAAATTGTGGTAGAACATTTATCATAATTGGAGTTCACGGTGGCTACAGCAGACTCTCTTTTCCAAGGATAATGTCAGCTCTTTGAACAAAAGCAACTTCTATGGTGTAAACTTGTGTCAATTCTGATGGATAGTTGTGGAGTACCTATTGCTGAGTTGTCACTTGGAAAAAAAGCAACCAAAATTGTAGAAAAGGTCCTAAAGGAGGATAAACATGACAGTACCATCAATGACTTTTTGCTTAAGGCAAAGAAAACCTTTGTTGGCTGTGCCTCATATCTCCAACACAAACTGCCACTAGAAAATGAAGTCCTCCAGTGTGCCTCTGCACTGGATCCTATTGCAAGGCGGCACACAGTCACCTTAAAAGAGTTGAAAAAGTTCCCAAAACTTGTGAAAGTACTGACAACTGAAGAGACCGTGTACAATCGTAAAGTCCATAAGCTGCAACTGTACCCCCAACAACTGGACCTGATGGCAAACCAGTGTGTCCAGATCACTGGTGGGGACAAGCAAAGTCAAAAGTGTGGGCAATATGGCACTTGCTGTTCTCACATGCTTTCATGGTGCTCAGGTTGAAAGCAGCTTCAGGGTCATGAACCACATTGTAGATGACAAGTCTGGTGACATCAGGACTGACACCTACAGTGCCATCCAGACAATACAATTTCTGGGGTATAGGCACTCATAAATGACAGTGAGTTTGCCTCTTTACTCTAAGTCATTGAAAGAAAATGTCCTTAAAATAAAGCCTCACAAGTCCTTGTGTTAGCCCTATATGTACATTGCTGTTTGTATAGTGTATTGGTGTTCACATTTGTTAGCATATTCACTTTAAGATTAGCAAAATTATAATCTCGTGATATCATATGATAATGGTATGCAGATGAGTGACATCAGTGCTTTTTCCATGTTGTAAGAATACACTTACAGACTGAACTTTGTGTTGCCTTTATTCCTCATAATCTTTCATACAAAACTGAAAAGCATCACAGTATGAACCATGCTTCATGGCGCAAAGAAGTCTGTTACTTAGAAACTGAGGCTTGTTCTGTGCTCATCCCCAAAATAGTATTCTTCTTTGGTTTAATAAAACAAGGGATGTCTTTTAGCCTAAATCATCAATCTTTCCTTCAGAAATTACTGATTGCTGACAGTGGGCATCTTCACCAACTGGAAACGGATCATCCATCATTGCTTGTATAACAGGTATAAACCGTGGCATGTGCTCCCATGCATTCAAGGGTTACTTTGTTCTATTTCATTCATAAATGCTGATAAATCATCATATTCTTTTTGAATGGCATGCTCTTTGCCCATTGCCTGTAGTTGTTCCTCTTCCTCCTCATCTTCCTCCTCTTCTTCTTCTTGTTCCTCCTCGTGACCTTCTACAAACAGGAAAAAGATGGGTCTTTACATATTCACTCCAATTTTCATAAATTATGTCAAAGACAGTGTATGAAATTCAAGGAAATTACTAGCCAGACTGCCGGGCAGGTAACTCTGAAAAGTTACCAGCCCGGCCATGTAGTTACCTGCCCTAGTTATAACCCCTAGAGTTAAGATAGGTATGCTGATCGAGGGGGTATAGAATGCATTCTAGAGTAATTTGGAAATGAAAGGGCAATAGCATGCCTTATGCGTGGAAATTTAGAAATTGGTTGGAATTTCTACTGAATGATACCTTGTCAGTGTTGGATTTAGAGGGGGTCAGGGGGTCCTGACGCCCCCCCTTTCAATTTCTGCAAAAAAATAAAAACCTCACCTCTTGAAATAAGACTTTTCACTAGTTGAATCATAGTTCTAAACCATACCAAATGGCACCATTTACCATCTAAAATACCAAAAAATTTCAGGGCCCTTTAGCGGGCGGGGGAAGGGGGGGGGGTAGTCAATTCAGTTTATGTTCACCTTGCAGGCCGTCTCATTTCTTCTTCAATAATTTATTCATAACTTTTATTCCGATTTCGTGATATCATTTGATCATAATTTTTGCTTTTCTGTATAGCAACAAATATGACCAAATATATATATTCTTGTCAAATAAATCGATCTCTGTGCTGACAATAAAGAAGAAAGAATTCAGCACGTAGGGTCCCTTTGAATATCGCTTTTAAGCTTTAAAAAGCGGTCGGGAACAGTCCTGCATGCTAATGGCCCATAGACAGTCCTGCAGGGCCCCGTATCTCGAAAGCATCGCTTATTGAGAAAAGCTATATCACATAAATTATATGGTCGAGTATGGGCGAGTTATTGGATCGAGATGCTTGCGCTCGGTCGCAATGCGTGATACTTTCGAATTACGGTTTTACAAAAAATGTTGCCGCTCGACTCATTGCAAATCGAAGTCACCTTTCCATGGGTCCCAGTTTGTTCTCTTTCGTTTGGTTCTGTCGTAATCTTTCTTATTTCTTTCCTCAATTGTTTTTCTTTTGTGAACTTCTCTATCTGACTTGATAGAATTTTTTTCATTTTTGACAGCCCAAGATGAAAACACGTGGCAAAAGAACTACATCTGACGCACAGCGTAAACTCGTACATTCACTCATAATTTTGGGATTCAAATTTTTTGTAAAATTCTCCTTTAATTTGCCTCCGTTGCCTTTATTACTGTTGATTATAAGCACTTCATGTACCTATAAGTCTATTTAATCAATATCATAACTTTTTATACTTTCACATTTTTATTACTCTCAACCTACAAATTGCTACTCGCGGTATCTCCTCTACACAAAACAATGACGTAACGTTATCTGCTGTGCACTGAAGCTGGTTAATAACAATGTGCCTCGTTTCAAATTGTCTTTCAACTTCATATCACACAGAGGGAACTTCGAAAACGAGGCCACTGAGAGGGAGACTGTTGGTTACATATCGATACGAGCGTTCGATTGCAAGCTAATGGTTAGTTCTTTGCTTTTATGAAAGTGGATGAAAACAGTGAGTTTATTTGATATTTGCTGAAATCGCTTGTGAACATAGACAAAATAAAAGGTGAAAATAGGCTGTAAAAATAGCCAGCCCGTCGGGCAGGTAATTTGCAAATCTTACCCGCCCGGCCTGAAAGTTACCAGCCTCGGGCTGGCGGGCAGGCGGCCATTTCATACACTGTCAAAGAGCATTTAATATTATAATTACTCTGATAGACAAGTTTCTCAACTGTGCTTTTTCACACATTCTGCTAATTTCAGTTACAAATTATCATGCTCACCAAGTGCAGTGTTGACTGCTAATTGTAAATCTTCATGTGAATATTCTTGTACTTCATCATCCTGTAATGAAATGAAAGGCACATCACCATATGGACACTGATCAGTCTTATATAAATTCTTACCAAATAAAATTTTTACAAATTTTTAAATACATAACTTTCTTTTATTTCTATCCAGACATGACAGAAACAATCTTACTATTCATTTCACACTCTTCACAATCTTACAATTCATTGCATACTGTATGTCAAATGAAATTAATACATTGAAAATGATATGGAACCAAACCTTAAGATCTTCACATTTAACTGGCATGTGCTGGGAACGTATCTGACTGAGAATTGCCAACTCTTCAACCTGAAGGTGTAACATTTTGTTTATTATTTTTTTTCAGTAACAAGTACAGTTTCACAAAGTTTAACAAACCATGCATTCTGCATACAAGATGTCTCTACTCTACATTTTCACAAAGTGCACTCAGCTATCACTGTCATCTTGATAGGTTAATGAATCTTAAAAGCAAATAAAATACCACAAAAAGAATACCACATTAGTCTGCAATAATGCATAATACCCAATCAAAATCGATTCAATCAATCAAGGTTACAGCCAAGCATGTCACTAGTTAACGTTAGTGAAAGTCTTTCATTTCCGTCAAAACTAAGGTTTAGCAATTGCCCAGGCTAGGGAAATATATATATAAAGAAGAAGTGTTTTTCCTGTACGAGTATACATATATATAATAAAAAGAGAAAAATAACAGCATCTATTTTGCCCCAACCGGTTTCATTGCATCTTCACCCCCCTGAAGATGCAATGAAACCAGTTGGGGCAAAATAGATGCTGTTATTTTTTTCTTTTTATTAAATATATATATATATATATATATATATATATATATATATATATATATATATATATATATATATATATATATATATAACAATGCTTTATATAAAACCAGAGAGTTACAACTGTTGTAACCCCTTGATAAAACGGAGGCAAATGGGGGGGGGGGGTCAGGGGATTTACACGTACTGTATCATGTGCACGCACTTAACCAGGTTATTTTACGTCTTTTGCTGTACTTTTCACCCTGCTTAGAGTTCAAGAGCCTGCAAAAAAGCTAGGCAGGGAACCACTCTAGAACAAACATAATCTTGATAACATACTATTCACGGAGCACCTACGCACTTAGACATGGCCACTGAAGTCAAGACAGTAGCATTTCGGACACTTATTGCGTTAAGCTACGTTTATTTTCTTACCTTTAAACTATTCAGATGACGACTTAATTTGCTTGCAATATTCATCATAACTTTTTCTTCCTCTTTCAATATCTGCAACTCTCGTAACTTTTTACTTGCGCTCATTTTACTGTATTTTCCTTATCGGACTTGAACACAAGGGTTGTCTACATTAAACAAAACATTGCCGCTAGATGTCAGTAAATATCAAGACGAGCTTAATTCAATGTAATGGTGAGTTTCGTTAATAACTTAAATTTTTTTTTTTTTTGAAAAATAATACTCAATTTTTTTTTAGTTTACTAAAGGTACATATGAAGCGAGCGTTGATTCCCTGTACCTTATATCAATCACTACTACCAGAAAAAACGTTTAAAGCTTTGCTTTCTTCAAATTTGACCAACTTGTCTCCCCAGTTCATGAGAGTTCAACAAATGATGTAATAATGTACGACACATTACTGCTGCACTAGAAATGAATCGTCATTCAGTGAGAGTTGGCGAAAAAAAAAAAAAAGGTTATACATAGCACATAAAGAAATCTGAAAGCATCTGTTCAAATATATATATATTTTTTTTCAGGAAATATGAAATTATATTCTTTGGTATTTCTTCAAGTTATGCTATTTGAGACTATATTGTGGCATTTTGGTTGGGTTAAGTGGCAATTATTAGACATGTCATCTCACTTCAAATGTATTTTTCTTCATCCAAAAGTTATTACTGTACTACATGTAATGCATCCAGTGATCAAAAACAAGCAGATAACAAAATGAGAAAAATGCTCAAATAAATAGTTTACTGATTAATAAATAAATAGAGTTTATGAAGAACAAATATGTACACTCATGTTTATTGAAATTGAAGAATTACTGTAAATGCCATGTCAATTCTTGTACCTAAATCCTCTTCTTGCTTGAGAAAATGTCACTTTTTTAGTTTGTTTGTAATTGCTTTCTTCCCTTAATTTATTTTTTTGTTGCCTTTTGTTTTCTCTGTATCTCTGACGTCTCTGTGAATTTTTCGATTTCTTTTTTTCTTTGAGTTCATTGACCTCATTTCTAGATTTCTTTGCACCCCTGTATGAATGAATCCACCATTCATTGTCAGGAGGCACCGCATAGTCTTCATTGCAATTTTTCCTCTTTCCTCCTTTTTTTGGCTCTTTATATTTTTGAGCCTCAGACCTTGGAAAATACTCATCTGGGTCTTGCAGAAAGTTTCTCTCATTTTTTGATGTCTTTCTTCTCTTGCCATCCTTTTTCTTCTTAAAAGCGGTGTCTTGGAATTCTTTTTTGTTTTTATTCTTATGATAATCATTTTTTCTATTTCCCATCTCTTTTTGCTTTTTGGATAGTTGTTCATTTTCTGTTGAATCTAAAATCAAAATCATGTGTAATGAAAATAATATATTATTTTTCAATTGTGTAATAAATTTTACCCCATTAATAGCTACTATCCTCAAACAAGATGATACCAACTGAAATTTCCTAAGGAAATAAACACTGTCGTAATCGGTGGCATGCCTTGTATTCAAAAACATTTCAAATAACATTTTGTTTGTATAATCACAAAAAGTACACTTGCCTCCTGTCTGGGGTTACACAAGGCATTTTTGCATCTATATCATCTTACATTCTCTTTATGCACTCACCTCTCTTTCGTCTGGCCTTACTTCTTTCTTGCTCTGTATCATATCTTGCCACAAAAGGGAGATTGGGTAGTTTACGCTTATCCATGGTGGCGTCCTCACACTCCTGATATGAGTGAACAAAATCAAATTTAAAACAAATCTTAAAACATACCTTTTTAAACAACATAATGATAGACTAAAATACTGAAATTGAATTCTGGTTCATTGAGCAGACAATGGACTTTAGAAGAACAATAATATTGTAAATAATAATGCAGTTTCATTTTAACAACATTTAGAATATTTGTTGGTATGTTTTAGAATTTTGTGTGAAATTCAGTATTTTCAACTGTGCTTGTTTATTTAAAATGTCAAGTTTTAATATTCATATTATTTACAATTCTGAGACACATATGGAGTGTACTTTCACTGAGTGCACTATAATCCATCCTTGCTTCTGTTACATTTCTGGGTTTGTAGAACATTCACATATTCATTTAGGCTTAAGTTGTGTGGCTGAGTGTCTGTAATCCTTGTTTAAAAATAAATATTAAAAAACTTTTCTGCTTTTATCCAATACTTTTTAATAACTTCATTACCTGCATACTTTGTCTGCCAAGATACAAGACATAACATATCTCTTATATATATGTGCAAAGACATCTATTAAAAGTATGTTTGTTATGATCCATGCACTGTATATGGGCCATTCCGTGGTATTTTTTTGCTGTTATGGAAGGACATTTGACACTTCAAATGAAAATATTTTCAAAAGTAAAAAAGTTACAAGGTCCATTTTTTGTATGTTTATTCTTCTATATGTAACTTATAATTAGGCAAAAAATTAGGGTTAAAAAAATTAAAGTTACGGAAAAATTATAATAAATAGTTAGCATCTCGGAAGGACGTGAAATGGACATGGAATTTTAACTTTCAACTTCAACACTAAAATTCTGCTCTGTCTGTGTAGATATTTTTAAAATCAAATCAAAATATGAATATTTGATTATTTTACTTTCTCAGTGTATAAAAATTTTTTTGGAAAAAAATTTATAAATTTGAAAATTTTGCATATAAAAAAATCAAGTAGGCGTCATGGAAGGACACGTCTCGGAAGGACGTTTTGTCCATTGCTAAATAAAATGTAAAATAAGGCTAATAATAATATTTTATGAATACATACCAGCATAATTTTGATGAATAATATCAAATGTAAACATGTCTTTCCGTGGTAATATATTTCATCTTCAAACATGTTACTAATTTTGACTATAATATAAGTTCTCATCTGCTCTGATCATCTTTAAATAATATTGGGACATTTTTTGAGAAATTCTTACCAAATCTATTAATTATAAATATAATCAATTGTCTAAATTATAATAACTTCAATATTATTCATTCAAATGAAATGTTTCTCAGTTTAAAAATGCTTCTATATATAATAATTGTGAATTTTAAGTTCAAGATTATCTTGAAAGACATAAGGGTTTTGGGGCTCATTGGTCACATGACCTGTTATGGTCCAATCAAAATGCCTCATACGTGCTTCCACTGTGCTAGGTGTCATGTTTAATGCTTATATATTTGGATTTAATTTCTTACTGAAGTGGTTCTAAGCAAAAATAATTTCATATTTTGTTGGCCCCTTTCATGGTTGAGGAGAATATGAAGTTATAAGTTTTTAACTTTTGTAGTTACTGAGAAAACTTAAAAAATAGGTACCAAAATCATCTCGGAAGGACAAATTGATATTGAGTAATCCATTATTTTATAATCAAAAATTTTTTTTAATGTAATGCACCTGACTAAATGTAAGAAATAGGTTATATTTAATGTATTTAGCCTTTATTGTTTAAAATGATCTCTATTATGAAAAATATATCAAAAATAAAAATGTCCTTCCGTGACACTATTTTATAAGTTTTCCAGATAAAAGTGTCAATAAAATCATAATTAATCACCAAAACCTAAAATTTCTTTTGAATTCTGGTGTCTTATGATGTCTGGTTTCAGAAATTATAAGTTTTATAAGTAGGATTCCTTTTTGAAATTTTGAGGTCTGCGGACCAAATACCACGGAATGGCCCATATATAATATACTCACGAATCCAAAGTGTCCCTCTGAGGCACAGTTATAACAGTACATCCTCTCATTTTGAGAATTGTCTGTTTCACAGAGAGGTCCTTCTTTGGTCTGGAATCAATGTCAAATTCGTAACAAAATCATAAGCATAGATAATTCATTCTGATGATTAGAAACATATTTAACTCAAATATATATATATATATATATATATATATATATATATATATATATATATATTTTTTTTTTTTTCTTTTTTTTTAAGGCGCCATTGCAACAAAATATGATTTGAACCAGCATTTAAGATTAATAACATATGAAGAATAAACTAACCGTCATGTGATACTGTCTCCATCTATCTGTACATTCCTGAGGACATAAAATACTTGTTAGTTGTGGGTAATAAACAATAGTAATAATAGATATCAACAATATTAGTTACTTCAGCATGGATATTTTTACAATTAATCAATACAGTCAGTGCATTACATAGTTTAAATCTCAAACTTTTCCTGTCCTAGTGATACTTATTATATATAAAGTATGAATATGACCACTAACATAACCCTTATGACCCTGCATGTGACATCTCCAGCATTCCTCATATAGCCTTCTCCTCGGCTCAAAGCACTCTCTCACACTATGACCAGACTGATTGCAGTTGTAGCATAGACTGTCTGGGCAACTCTTGGATGTGTGACCTTGATTTCCACAGTAGATACAGACTACAGCTTTCTATTAACAAACACAACAACCCTTTCAAGAAGACAAAATCCATAGCTTTCTTTAAACAACTTAACAACTTTAATACAGAAGTTTGTCACATTTCAATATAGCTGGGAAAGTTTTCATTATTTTTATTCATTTTTATAATCAGGAGTGACTACTCTTATTTTAAAATGTTTAAACCATGACCAACAGAGAATAATATATATATTCAAAGCATTTACTAGTTAAATTCACTATTTGGTGGACTGATATCAAATCCATCATGTTAGATCTGCACTTTAAAGAAAATTTGTCAACAACACCTATTAAAAAAATACCTGGAACCTGCCAAGTTCTTACCTTTGGCTTTGGACAACATTTCGACAAGTGTCCCCTTTCATTGCAGTTGTGACACTTGACATTAAGAGGTTGGTAATATCGATTCTTTGTTCCCAATTTAAAACGGTCTTCATCAATGATGTCCCAGTTGGCATTTTCTTTAAATGAAAAAAACACGTTTGGTTACAAACGAAGACAAAAAAACAGATTATACTTCAGTTGATGTGCTTTTGCTTGTTCAGATCTAAAAGAAGAAAACAAGTATCATTTCAACAACTGAAATGATACAAGTAAACATTTGAATCAGCATTTAAGTCATTTAAGTGATTAATTTGGTACCAAGTTATTAAATGAACAAATAAAGACTAATGTGACCCACCCCCAATCAACAAAGATACTAACTATCCAGAGAATTGTGGACCTCCTCCAAGTCCAGATCCTCAATGTCCAGTTCAGCACAGTCCAGAACAACCTTGGGCTTACTCTGTACTACATTGGTCTGTATATCACAATCTCCCTCAGTCCCCTCAAGCAATGGCATATCATTCTCCTCTTCACTACCAGACTCCAACAGAGGCTTTGAAAGTTTTATTTTCTTAGATTTAGAAGATGTACTCCACTGGGGATTTGTTTTACTTTTTCTGTGTTGTTTCTCTAAAAATAGATCACTGTCCATGCTCGAGACAACTATGACCTCTTCATGTATTTTCCTTTTCAACAAAGCGGTGGAAGTTTTTGTTTTATTTGAGGTACATTCTTGGTCAATGATACAGTCACTATCTGACTCAATGATAATATATTCATTTTTTTCATCTCTGCCAGCAGGGCTTTTGTTTTTAACTTCGTCAATTGCTTTATTGGAAAGATCTCTCATAAGCATTGGAAGTGCAAAGTGACTGTCATCTTCTAAAATTATTACACTCTCACTACTGCTGTCCTGATCTGTTTTCTTTAACACATGTGATGATTCGGCTTGAATACCCAATCCTGCTTGTGTGGATATAGTAGTTTGGGGTGTGATTTTTGTATCAACATCCGAACAAGAGTTATGCAAAACTGACATTTTTGTGCCACTATAAACAGCAGCATGACTTTGAAGATGAGATGCATCTTCACATGCATAATGGATTTGGCTGTAGAGAGCTATTTCAAGTTCTTCTAGATCAGTTTCTTCATCACTGTGTATTTCACTGTCATGCATGTGGTCTTCCTCAATATCTTGCATAACATAGTCATCCTAAAAGAAAGAGAACTCATTACCAGCTATAAAACAATTATCTCGAATGAGAACAAATGAGTTATTCACTAGAAAATATGTGAATGGACCTATTAATATAGTGCACTTGAAGCTATTTTCTTTAAATTGCTAATGACAATGACTTTAAGGAATGTTTAATTGTAGAGGTATTTCAGAGAAATGCTACCGCCCAAACGTAATTATCATCTAATTTCTATTGTACACTATATCCCATGGCCTGGTGGCCCTTCTCCAATCATCAAATTAGATCACATATATCAAATACATAGACTACGCTCCCACCCTAAAGAGCTTATGATGAATAAATGCTTGTTGCAAATTTGCTTTTATTTGGAACTAAGGCTTCAACGGAATTTTGTGATCACGAAACTCAAGCTGCACATGTCAATGAATTTTACATTCTCAGGCTATAAGTGACCTTGCAAATCATTACTTTTGTCATAGCTTCTTAATAAATTATTTCACAAGCCTAATGGTTTGCTTAATTTTTTATTTAGTATTTTAACTTGTTTTATTTAATTTAATCTTTATACTTTGTGGAGGCCACACAACTTTTGCTTTACAAATTACATGATCTTATTCAATGATTACAGCACTCATTTCATTTCAGATATTTCGACGTTGTTAACAGTTAGCGGGTAGGTACATTAGTTGAGTAGTATAAACTATTCTATTTCAAAGTGACTGCGGCCAGGTTGATAATTTCCGAGTTTCGTCTCGACATTTTTTACACGTACGGGAAATGAGGTTATTAAAATGCATCTTTCTAGATTTTCCAACACTCCCCGTTGTTAGTATGTCGTTATATACATTCTTAAAAGATCCCCTGATACGGTTTCAGTCAAAGTACAGGGTCAGAGAAAGTACGAATTACAAAATAGCAGATCATATGTATTACCATTCTCATTGAACAAATCTCGTGTTCTTTTCCACTATCAGAGCTATGTGCAATCTGTTCCTTAGTTGTGACAAAGAAAACTAAAATTTTTCAACAATATATATTTCATTGATATGATAAATTTCAATAAAAAATATTATGTGGCATTACAGAATGCAAAGATAAGGCATAAAATGATATGTTGCTTCAATACCATGGTTATGTATATGCGTGCCTGAATTTTATTGATATAACAGCTTTGTCTTACCTTTTTTCCTGCCTCGAAATAAAAAAGACGGAATTGTTCTATAAAAGCAAGGTAGCGAAATAACGTAACGTGTGGGTATAATTAACTGTCAGCACATTTATGCGTGTTTTTCTTGAAGGCATGTTCACGCAGAGTTTTTGAATAATCAGGTCTCTTTGGTTGTTATTATTTAAAGGTGCAACAATGACATATGTTTTTACTGGCGATTTGCACAATGAAAACGTAGTATTAATAATTAATACTACTTTTACAGCAGTTGTGTATTAGGGGCATTCAATGGTATTTTTGTCCTGGACATAAAAATTTCAGATGTACAAAAATCAACCAAAAGTAACCAATACTCAAAAAAAAAAAAAAAAAAAGAAAAAAAAAATTAGCAGTATTTCCTTAAAGTAAACACACACGCTCGGCTGTCACCTTGATTGGATAGTAAACGGTTGTCGTAAAATCGCTAAAAGATATTAAAACCCGGTGCATAAACTTGAAAACCACCTAGGACAACCTCAGACTGCCACATTAATCCAATACAATGCAAAAATAAACTATAACAAGTGGTTAAAGCCTTCAAACCGAATGTCGTAAAGTCCCCATATACCTCCATACAGACAATAAAATAGAATAAGCTTCTGAAACAAGAAAAATCCAGTTCCAACATAATAATCGAAATAAAATACTGCCGGGCATCGGAGCGGCCTAAAACTTGGCACGCTTACCGCAAATACTGCAGGCTACATCATCCCGTCGCTCGTTTGTAAATTCCGTGCATGGCATACGCACAATCAAACCGTATATCCAAATTGCACCTCTGATGTTTGAATTGGTCCTCTCTAACCTACCATTACGAAAAAGAAGCCATGCCATTGGACAATGCGACCTCTGCGGTTACGTCATTTCCTGAATTGGATTGTAGAGAGGACCAATTCAAACATCAGAGGTGCAATTTGGATATACGGTTTGATTGTGCGTATGCCATGCACGGAATTTACAAACGAGCGACGGGATGATGTAGCCTGCAGTATTTGCGGTAAGCGTGCCAAGTTTTAGGCCGCTCCGATGCCCGGCAGTATTTTATTTCGATTATTATGTTGGAACTGGATTTTTCTTGTTTCAGAAGCTTATTCTATTTTATTGTCTCTATGGAGGTATATGGGGACTTTACGACATTCGGTTTGAAGGCTTTAACCACTTGTTATAGTTTATTTTTGCATTGTATTGGATTAATGTGGCAGTCTGAGGTTGTCCTAGGTGGTTTTCAAGTTTATGCACCGGGTTTTAATATCTTTTAGCGATTTTACGACAACCGTTTACTATCCAATCAAGGTGACAGCCGAGCGTGTAAACACATAAAAATTCAAGTGAAATCTTTAAAAAAATTGTTAATCAAAAATTATATTTTCTCTCCATAACGATTTGGTACCTATATTTTCAGTTTATTTTCAAACTACATAAAATATTTTTCATTCATCTTCTGTTCATACTTGTCTTATTTTAACTTTTACAGAAATTTTTCTTCAACATAACATATTTGATGAGAAATAAAATCCTTAATTAAAAAGCATTACAAATGGAAAATTAGCATGAAATTTGGATGGAAAGATATAGCTACCTGGCTACACAAGTGTACATAGAGATTTTATACAGCATAGTTAACTGATTTGGGTGTTTTTAAACTAAAACGAGATACAGATTTTGATTCATTTATGAAGACTGAAATACATGAATGATACATAATTCAATAGGTGCATTATTTGATATAAAAAAATTGCTATATCTCACCTGGCAAGTTATGTTAACATCCATACTTGCTTGTCAATTAGTGGCATATGAATTGTGGCAATTAAAGCTTATTTATGATCATGGCTTCTGCTAGGTACTTTTAGTTACTTTTGTTGCAATTGTAGAAGATGAAATAAGATCATGTTTTTGATCAGCTACATGTACCTGTTATTAGTACCACCAGCGTGTACGCTGGCGGTACTTATGGTTTTAGTCCAGACCCGTCTCATGCGGCTCTGTGGCTCTGCCGGCTCCATGTTCTGGTGCCAGATACAAGCCACCCTTACCACTTCTCCTCCTAGACCACAAGGACCCATGTCTCCATCTCTTGGATTTAGGTCTCATATAAACTCAACTTGAACCCTCTGTTCTTTTTGTCTCAGTCAGTGCATTGGCCTGGGCATGACACTCGTTGAAACACACCCTTGTCAAATTTTTTGAAAATTCAATGCCAAATATCTCCCAAATTGAAGGAATTATGGGAAAAATTACTAAAGAAGTCTGACCAAAAGTCATATGTGAAGATTCCAAATATGCCCTTGGATTTGACCTTTATTTCATGGTCAAACAGGCCAAAATTTTCTGAAAATTTTAATTTTTTGCTAAAAATTTTTTATTTCTGCCAATTTTCGGAAACTACAAAGATGTAACCTATAATATTATGGGTAGTTGTTAACCTTAGGGTCATCTTTCATCTTTGTGAGTTTGGGGTCAATCGGTGCATTTTCATGGGAGTAATGACCATAAGATGCTGAAACTGAAAACTTTCTCTAATTCTGGAACCATTAATGCTAGAGACCTCTTGTTTTTTGCATTTTGTAGAGCTTATCAAGCACAACACTGGAGATGGTGTCTGTTTTTTTTGTTTTCGATTGCACTATATCAACATCTGATATTCAGTGGTGAAAATGAAAGGTGAAATTCTCCAAAATTAGCAGAGATACACCCATAGTTACTATTGAACTTGAATAGGAAGTCATATACTGATAATCTGACTGTGACCTTGAAATTGACCTTTGACCCACTTTTCATTATGAACTGCACTTTGCATGTTTTCTGGCCTTTATATCTCCAAAATTTGCAATGAAATGCCCATAGTTACTATTGAACTTGAATAGGAAGTTATATACTGTGACCTTGAAATTGACCTTTGATCTACTTTTTCACCATGAACTGAACTTTGCATATTTTCTTGCCCCTCTTATCTTCAAAACTAGCAGAGATATGCCCAGTGTTGCCCCTAGGTTTTCTTTTTTTATCAGCATAAATGCAACACTGAAAACACATTTCAAGGAAAATCAGTTGGCCTATTGTCTAGAAAATCACAGGATTGATCAATGTTAGGAAAATACAGGTCAATTCAAAAATTTAATCGGACATTTTTACTGTTATATTTTTTCACTTTTTTTTTTTTTGTGTATATTTTGAGAACTCTTGTTTATTGCATTTTATAGAGCTTGTCAAGCACAAGACTGATAGTGGTGTCCCCCTTTTTTTTTTTTTTTTGGTTTTCCATCTGAATGCGCTTATTCCAGCTGGTGGTACAATATCCAGAGGCGGTATCGCCTCTCTGAGCCTCTAGTTTAACTGTTAAATATACCTGATCATGAGAGATAATCAGATAACAGTTAAACTACTGACTTAGTAATGGTGATCAATTATAAATAGGTTTCAAAAGCTTCTTTATGTTTTTATGTCTTTAAGTTTTTAAGTCACAAAATTAGGGTAGCATTATGTACAGGTATATTCCTGACAAATTTGAACTTTATATGTATTGTAGTTTTTGTAAAATACAACTTTAAAAGAGTCAAAGTTCTGTCTGTAATGCAAAACAAATACCATAGAATGCCCCCTTATTCTTAATATGAATACACTACTCATCAGTTGTTAGAATATCTAGTCAACACACAGTTACCTGGACTAGAGGCTCTAGTTGCTTTGTTTTGCTATATTTACTCATGTTTTTATTTATATTTACCCTGCTGTAAATGAACGGTGAACACATAAAAACAATGAGAGCAGGAGTGATTGAGGCTGAACATCCTAGTGAAATGTAAAATGATGATGGATTAAACTTTTTCTTTAAATGTCTTACATTTTTCAGGTATCATAATAATTGGGACAATCAGATGTTTCTGGGATACAAGAGATGCCATTGGTTACCTGCAAAATTCTTTTCTTTGCCAAGAGTCGGGAACTAGTTGGGAAAAGTGAAGCAGAAATAAGCATCAAACAAACATTATCAGGAAGAGAACTTAATGAATGGATTTTTGAACATTTTCCAGAATTGCAAGTGATTGCATCCAACACGATTCTAGCAGTAAATCAAGAGTATTTACAAGATGATGAGACAGTTCTAACTTTGAAAACTAATGATGAGATTGCAGTCATTCCACCAATAAGTGGAGGATGAGAATAACATATTTTGATAAATAACTTTAATTTTATATCAGATGACGTTTGAAAAATTGCAAAAGACTGTGAACCAATGTATAAAATAAAGATGAAAAAATCAAAATTTAATGACATGCTTTATTTTTTAATTAATAATTTTATATATGCAAGTAAAGTACTTTACTTTGAAAGGATGTTGTTAGAATGGATCTTTGAAGAAAAATTGTAATTTTCTTTAGATCACAACACATTAACCAAGAGCTTTAATTTCTGTCGGGTTGTCCAGTCAAAAGAGTAGGCACCAGTTTTCTTGGAACCTTCTCATATACTGTACATAATGCCTCACTGAAGATCAGACATCTGTAATCCAAAGCAATAGTACAATTATTGTTTATCATGGCTTCAGGTGTAATCTTGACATGTCATACGTACAGTTTGCTTTAGCTTTTTTTTTTGGTTAGTCAATTAGTAACAGTGAGAATCTGGGGTGTGTTTAATATTATATCTTGCTTTTTATTTCATGTTTGATGATCACTAAATACATGAATTATTTTTCAAGCCACATTTTGATCTGGCCTTGATTCAGATGAAGCAAAACAAAATTGATCAAGGCTATCCAAGTAATGCTTTCTGTA